ATGTGTGTGCATCCGCATTGTGGGCCACTTTGCGGATATAATGCTTGAAAATCAGGGTAGGACCCCACCAATCAACCAGTATCAAATATTATTCCCACTAGTATCATCATCAACAAAGTTCAATATTTCATACATGGGGAAAGTATGGCTCTTTTTTATTCTATTAATTATTACATTTATATCCCACCTTTTTGCTTCTTGCAAGGAACACAAAGGGGCTCCTTCTCCTCCCCATTTTATTCTAACAGCACCTCTGTTAGGTATGATAAAATGAAAGACAGTGCCCAGCCCAGTGGGAATTAGAACTTGCATCTTCCAGCTCCCAGTCCAGTACTGTAACTATCATACATGCTGCCTCTTGTTTATTTAGTTGTGGCAAATACTGGGGACCCATATTGTCCAGGTTCACTTAGCTAAGCTGTTAGGGGATTCCGTGAGCAAATACTTTCGAACTATTAGGGTTTCAAGATTTTATACCAGCATCCAGTCCCACACAGCTTGACCACTTCTGCTGAGAATAAAGTCCCTGGAAATCTTTTTTACAAGTGCAGTTCGTTGGGAATCTTGTGATATGTAACATTCTTGGAAACATCTGTTTCAGGACATAGACTGATGAATGGCCGACAGTGGACATTCTAGGGTTAATTGGAGGGGTCGCAGTTAGACCCCAGTTTTTAAGAAAGTATATTAAATGGCAACTTTGTCATTTCTGTGCCTGCCTTATTTATGTTTTACTTCATGTTTTAACACACCTCTCTCTGTGTCTGAATACACTGCTACATCTCCATGGTGTTATGAAAGTAATGCCAAAGTAGACCCCACAGTAAAACTGGCCAAGACACTCTTCGGAAAAGCAAAAACAGCAGGGCATGCCCATATCTAGTACGTCTAGGTCAGCTAAACACCACCTTCTAAGGCTTAATCTCAAGTGTGGTACAAAGGTGAATGCAACAAGGACAAAGACACTTTTACCAACACGTGGCGGGCCGTGAGAGCTCAGGGAGCATTTCTTGGTGGACTGAAGAGACCACAGCAGCAACAAAGGGCATGGTATTACATCTGGAAAACTTCAGGGAATACAGTGAAAGTCCAGCCCTGAAGAGCTTGGCACAAGCAACCGTAATTCAATGTGATATCCTATGGTCATATAAAGTTCAATGAAGAGCAGATGAATACCGAGATGCAGTAGAAGACCTCCAAGGAAAACAGAACAAAACAAAACAACTAGGAAGTAATGAATTTGAAAGAGAAAAGCAGGTGACCAGAAGGGGATCCTTGCCATGTGCTAACCATGGCAGAGAGATATCCAAGGACAGTCCAGGAGAGATGATGCAGAAGAACATGATAAAAAGAATCTTGAGGGTAGTAGAATAAAGAATTACAAAAGATGCCATCACTGAACAAAGAAATACTGTACATGAAGTAGGCAACTTTCTGAGTTTCCTGCATCCCTGAAAAATTATATACAAATCTCCAGTTTATTCTTCTATTTTAGTCTTTCTTCTCTTCCTTTCTCAAAATATAACAGGATATGGCAACATAATAAGGACGGGATTTGGCCTGAGTCAGTTGCACTCCATGGGAAGAACTAGGAAATGGTTGAGAGTAGCACCGACAGCTTCTGGCCCAGGTTGAGAGAGGCCACAGCTTGGGAAAGCCCAGGGGAAATGCTTTGTTTAGATAAAACGTAGGTTTGTTTGGAAGCAGAGTTCGTGAGCCTGTGCAGCACGGTACACCAGCTTTGAAGCAGAGGCAGACTTGATCTGGAAGCTGTTCGAAAGGATTCAAGGTATGCACCTCTTTTTTGGCACAAGTCCCAGGATGGGTAGTCTGCTTTTCTGACTAAGTAACTGGAAAAGGAGGCTGAATCCATGCCAGAACCCTGCCCCTCACCCACTTCCAATAAATTACTGATAACTGTAGTGTAAATGTGAACACTAGTGAAAACAAAGATATATATACACACAAACACACATATATAAAGCATATGTACTGTTGTGTTCCAAATATTTGAATTCTGGCATGAACAGCCTGTATTGCTCATTGCTGTCATTAATCAGACCTTTTCAGATAGCTTTTGGGCACAATCTCATGCATGTTTGGACTGAGAAGATGGCTTTTCCTTTGTTTCTGGGGGCTAATGTACCTGCTTGCGGCTTCCACCATTCCTCTTAGGCCAGTGCTCATTGCCTGGGGCAGCTGGAGATGACATTTTGTACCCAACACTGAGGGGGTTTGGCCTGTGTGCCAAGCTTCAGTTTCAGGCTCTCAGGCTAAATGCATCTGAATAATGATTTCACACTGAAGGAATAATTTCCAAGTCAGACACTAATTCATAACCATGAACTCTGCTCAGAGACTGGTTCCATCATGTTCTTCCCTCAAATACCAACAGGCACCAACCATTCCATTAAACTGCCATAGAAGGAAATGGGAAGGAAACAGCAGTTTTCTCGGGATCGTGCTTTCCCAAAACTGTTTCCAGCTGGTCCTTAGCAGCACTATTTTAACCTGAAGAATATATGCCCAAGTTTTCTTTTCCTTCCAAATATTGTTTTCTCTTGTGTTTCTCCTTTCCAATTGCAAGCCTCTGGTTGTCTGCTGTTGTTGCTTGTATGTGTGTATAATTGTATTATTGCTTTCAAGCTCCTCTGGGAGGCTTATTGGCTGAAGAGGGGGATAACAAGGCTTCAAATAAATGTCATGCAGCAGACGGCTGAACTACTTGTCCTGGACGGATGGGGAGGGAGAGACTTTAGCAGGATATGGAAGGACAGCCAGTGTGGTGTAGTGGCTAAGAGTGCCGGGACTGGGACTCTGGCGATCTGGGTTCCAGTCCCCGCTCAGCCATGGAGCCAACTGGGGCCAGTCACAGACTCTCAGCCCAACCTACCTCCCAGGGTTGTTGTTGTGGGGATAAGATGGAGGAGGAGACGTAAGCTGCCTTGAGCCCTTTGTAGGAAAAAGGCAGGATATAAATCGAATAAATAAATAAACTGCTCAGAAGGGCAATGTGCACAAGATTGTCTCATTCGTGTGTGTGTGTGTGTAATAAGCATTACATTTCTATATTATATGTTTATCCAACAAAAGGCCCTGCCTGTGAAGAACTACATGACAGTCCGTTCTGTTTGTAAGGAAGCAAAATCTTGGTTTTCATGCAGAATGCATTGCTGATGAAATCAGAGCTTGTGTCACAGAAGGAGGAGGTGTTGGAAAGGTAATGTGTGCAGGGAATTACTTGCTTAGCTAGGGTGCAAGTGCAAAGGAGCAAAGGAATGGAGACTTAAGGGATAGGAAAAGGGGGAAAGCCAGATCTTTCTTCCCCCTCACCAAAAATTATGAAGGGTGATTTACTTGTGAGTAAAGCTACTAAAAATAATGTGATTTACTTCTGAATAGACAAGCATTTCAACTAGTTGTTTCTTGGGGCAAGAGGGCAAAGGAGACCATCAGGAAAGATTGAAAGGACATTGCAAACTTTATTTGTCCAAAGGAACAGGAATCAGCACAGCATCTGCAAGTCAGGGAGAAAGAGAAACTGTGCAAGGCAGGAATGGAAACTGGTGGATCTCCCAGATAGGATGTTTTCTCTTCCCCACCAGCCCACTGAAGCTACTTCTCCAGGCCCTGTACCAACAGTACCAAAAGTATGGCACGCATTCATAAGACTTCATGTTATCACACTATAACAGGAAAGATCCATAATATATAAAAGGGTCATAGTAGGTTTGAAGAAATGCAGCTTGTAATGGCAGAAATAGTGCAAGGAGGATGGCTTAGCAGGGATATAATGCGACAGGCCAGTGAGTCAGGCATTAAAAAGCTGGTCAAAAAGCCAGCTTTGAGTGCCCCCAGGAGAGGCAATAAATGGTCACCATCACTGTCCTGTCAAATATGCTTTTTAAAAACAAGCCCTCCCTCCCTGGCTATTATTGTAAGCCATCCTGGGATGATTTCTGTGTAGGATGGGGTAAAATATTTTGGTAAATACATAAATTATGCTTGGACACGATGTTTAAATTTAGATTGGACACCCAAGGGCAGGGACTGCTACATAAGCTGCTTGGGGAACTTTTAGGCCTTAAAGGTGGGATAGAAATACTGTGAGTGAGTAAATAAATAAGCAGAGCAACACACCAACCTGGTGAAGTAGGTTAGGCTGAAAGAAACCGAGGGGGTGGCCAGCCAAGAGATATTCAGGGCGCTCCTCTGGCTGTGCTGGGTCTCTCTACACTGGGGCCACCAAAAACATTCGAGTACAATTCCCATCATCCCCCAGAGGCATGAGAGAGCAGCCCTTTTAAGGCACGAGGTTAGGGAAGACTTCAAGTTACTATCCTAGGCCAGGAGTGGGAAGAAGGCTCTACGCCAGTAGGCCATGCCCTTCCTTGGACCCTTTTCGTGACCACGGGTTGCCTGGCGGGTTTTTCGGGTTTTGTGCAATTTTGCCCCCTTTCTGAAAGGTTGAAATGCTTCGTTACTGGCTACGTTATGCTAGCATTTCCGGCGCTGCGCACCACTGGAATGGTGAGAGGGTTGAAAGAGGTCCCCCACCCTTGCTCTACGTTTGGAAATAAAGGGAAATTGCAGCGCCGCACTTATTCTATTGTGCCTGTTCCGGAGCCATAGAAAAACGCAAGCAGCCCTGCTACGATTCACTTGCTGCAAAAGAAAGGAAAGGGAAAGCGCAAAAGATGCACCGGCTCTAAGGAGAGAATGTAAAAAGAAGAGCGAGGGGGAGGGCGGAGAAGGAGAAGGAGGCACCGGAGGAGGCGGAGGAGGAGTCCCGGGGGCTGAGCTGGAGCACCCGATCCATCCTGAGCGCCGCGGAGCAGACTGGGCTGCAGGCGCGGACGGAGCTCGGCGAGGCGCGCGCGCGGCGGCCCCACGTGCGCGCCCTGGGAGCACAGCCCGCCGGGCCGGGTCGGGACGGGACGGGACGGGACCGGGCGCGCCCGCTGGGCCTCCTGCTGGCTCCGCCGGAGAATCGCTGCCGCTCTTCGGCACCTTCGGGGCCCCGCTCCGCACTGCGCAGGGTAGCCGATCCCGCCTCTCCGGAGCGTGGGGGCTGGGATGCCGAACTTACCGCTCCTCGCCCTCTTTTCGACGTGCTGCTGGTGGACTTTGGGGCTGGTGAGTAACACTCGGGGGAATCACCGGAGCTGCCGATTTCGCCGCGGCGCCTGCGACCAGGGCGAGAATCTAAAACTGGGAGCGGGTTGGCCCTTGAGCATGAGCAGAGTTCACCTGCTGAGCAGACGCCGCTACCGCCCGCGCGTCAAGTAGAAGGCGGCTTGGTTCTCCGCGCCCTTTCAGAATTCAGCCCGGCAACTTTCCACTTTTCTCCTACTTCTTTTCATCTGCTACCCGCGCTCCCCACACCCCCCATGCTCTCCGTGCGTCGTAATGGGGTGGGGGGCTTTCGGAGTCAGATCATACTAGCCCTCTTCTTTGGTCACAAAGTGAAACAGAAGGGAAAGGGAGTACAGAGCAAAACCCCATAAGATGTGGAGTGGGAAGAGTAAATGCGAACATGGCCCCCACATGGCCCCCAAACTGCATGGCCCTCCGTGGCCCCCTCCATGGTCCCCACGATGCTGACCTCCAGATGTGTTGGACCACAACCCCCATGATCTCCAGTGGTTGTGGTGGATGGGAGCGGAAGTCTCACACATGTGGTTTGCACTAGCTTGGGGCAGGGTGCAGAGTAACATAGGTCTCCCTGTTAGTAAGGAGCCTGGGAGCCTGGTGGGTGTGCACCTGTGTAAAGGTGACTGGGTGGAGGATGCTGAAACATTTGAAAAGGCAAACACATGTGTGCTTTGCTCAGTTTTGGGGCATATGTTCTGTGCAGGGAACACACACACGGGCAAAACTCCATACCACTATCCCAGTTGTGAATGGCTTCTTCAGGTGCACAGCCAGGCATTTATGGAGCCTGGAACTAACAGGTTAAAAATATCAAGGGGCAACCACTCTGTTCTCACCCATCACACTTAGGGAGAGGCGGTGGCCAGTGGAGGAGCTCATGCTTGCACGCAGAAGACCTCGTGTGCTCCTGTGCGGTGGGGCTGAAAAGAATCTTGCCTGAAAGCCTGGAGAATGGCTGCTGCGTTGTGGCGACAGGACTGGGCTAGATGGACTGTTTTGGGCAGCCTCCTATATATCTATATGAAGCACAGTATTAAAAGCAAACAACCTGCTTGGGGAACTTGGGAACGTGTGGACATGGATTGTAACTATAGAAAGTGCTTGAATGTAGATTTAACTGGCCAAGTGCACAGGTGGGGAAGGATGTTGGAAGGTGAAGTCGCTCTTGACTGGAGAGGAATCCACCACATAAGATCACTAAGATCACATATTTCAGCATTAGAAGCAGAGGAAAGCAAGCCCAGGGCAGGATGACATCACCCAGAGGTATTCCCCATCCTTGTAAACTTCTGGATCTTCCTGCAATGCATTGACGAAGGTCAGGTCAAAAGACGTAATATTAATCAGCTAGGTATCAGTACTGCAAATATGCGCCTTGCCCACTTTCAGCACCAATCATACACTCAAAGTAAGCCCCAGGCTAAATATATTATGGGCTGCATGCTCAAGATCATTTGATGCCAATGGATGATACCAAGCCTCTTTTCAGCTCAAAACTGAGATTGCTAAAGAGAAAACCTGGGGGATATTTCCTGTTCTTTCAATGCATTGCTATAGTTGGGAGCTGAAATTCTATTCCGTGTGTTTTTGAATAGGAAACTAGGGTGTGATCCAATGGATCAAATGATCTGGAATAAAAGCATAGGAATGGGAAATCTAGTGTCCTGGCACTTTAAAGACAATATATTTTTAATGGTATTATAAACTATAAGCTAAGGAGAATTTTTAAAAATAGTATTTAGCACACAAATCTGTCCTTGGCAAGTTTTTATAAGAATCCTGCCAAAAACTAAGCTAGGGACAAAGTTTTTGTTTTTTAGATGATATTCTGGGTATATCTCCTATTCCACGGATCATGCACATCAAGTGAACCAAAAAAGCTTATTGGCAAGGCACTCTTCAACAGTCTACTCAGAAGTAAGTCCCACTCTCAGCCAAGTCTGCATAGAATTGTACGCATGAGCTGTGTGGGCCACACGGAGAGCAGAATGGTACCATGCCTACCATTCTAAGATAGAGGAGTGGATTCATCCTCTTCAAGGCATATGTGGGATGCCATTATTGAACCTTTCTCCTCCTACATGGAGATAATTTGTTGTGATGTGCCATCAAGCCATCTCCATCTTATGATGGCCCTATGAATGACTGTTCCACAAAATGTCCGTTCCCAACAGTCCTGTTCAGCTCTTGGAAATGCAAGGTCGTGACTTTCTTTTTGGGTCAGTCCATCTCATCCTTGTTTTTTCTCTTCTTCTGCCTTCAACTTTCCATACCATGATTGTGTTCTCCAGGGAGTCTTGCCTTCTCGTGGTGCCAAAGTATGACAGCTTCAGTTTCATCATTTTTGCTTCCGGGGAAGTCCTGACTTGATTTGTTTTAGGAGCCACTGGTTTGTCTTTCTTTTGGTTCAGGGTATTCAAAAGCTCTCCTTCAGCACCATGCTTCAAATACATCATTTTCTTCTTATCAGTTTTCTTCAGAGCCCAGAGATAATCTTAGTTTAGACAAACGACATCATACTATGTGAATCAGTTTCAAGCAATCGGTTTCAATTTGTTGGGTTTTCAGTAGGTCAGATCCAAGTTCAGATCTCTGCTTAGCCATGATTCTCATGCCATGGTTGCAGTTAGTCATCTTTATCTCAGCTTAACCTATCTTCTAAGGGGTCAGCAGTGCGAGCTGAGAGAGGATGAAGCAACTCGGGCACGTTTTAGAAGGGACTGCAAGGCTGATCAATGGGGCATGGTGTCCTTCAGCAAGCTGCTGATAGGTGTAACTGTAGTTCATCATGTGAAGGGCACTGGGATGGAGAAGGCTGGTGCAGATATCTAGGGAGCCTTTTCCAAGCCTAGGACACCAAAGAAGAATGGGGAGAGTTGTTTAAGATAAAAGGGCAGCTGAGAATCAATTGGGAAAGCAAAGAATATGGGTAGGGCTAGTCTCAGATTAAAATTAAAATGTGCTGGATGCAGAAGGGGGCGAGAAGCCAGTCTTAGTGAATTATGAACATGCAGAGGGGTCCTTTTAGCTGTAAGGCTGCAAGATGCTTTTAGTGTGTGTATCATGAGCAGAGTGTATAGCAGGATCTCTGCTCCTGGTTGTTTATGGATTCTTTCGATCATGATGTGATCCGCCAATTTTACTTTTGTATATTAAGTGCACTCTCTTTTCTCTTAAGAGTGGGGAAAATGAGATTTTTTTCAGACTCTGCATGATGGGTTACATTGTTCAACACATCCAGTTAGAGATAGTTGTCCTGAGTTTCCATAGCCCACCATCTGACCTTTCTCTGAAAACGTTGGAGATTAAACCTGGGGTTCTGTGCAGTCCGGCATGTACTCTGCCAATGACAAAATCCCATCCCTGCAAAACAAACTCCAAGTATCCTTCACTGATTTTAGATTCTCAATTCCACCAGAAAGATTACTTAGATTACAGGAGCTTGGAATCAGAAAAGGCGGAAGTCTGATCTATTTCCTTTTGTATTTATTTATGTTCATTGTCCACAGAACAAGAATGTTAATAAATCTGGAGCAGACAAAAGGTGGATCAACTACTGATATATCTCTGGGTGATTTATGTCTTTTTTTAATTGGATTTATATCCCACTTTTTTCTTACAATGAACTCAAAGCAGTTTACAGTACTCTCCTCCTGCTGCTCTCGCTCTGATCCAAGCCTTGTGAGATGGGTTGGGCTGAGAGTCTGTGTCTGACCCAGAGTCACCCAGTTGACTCCATGACTGAACAGGGACTAGAACCCAGATCACCTGAGTCCTTGTCCCAAGCTCCTGACCACTACACCGCACTGATTTGCAGTAGATCAGTAAGGGTTTCCAACTCCCAGAAGTTTAACAACAGTGACAGCATAAGTTCCTCTCCTGAAATAAATTTGTCATCTTAGGAAAGCTCGGAAGGAAAAGAGCAGAAATATGTGTGGGAAAGGATTTGGGCAGGAGTTCTCATTCTGGGGCTGAAGATCATATGCACACAGCTATCTCAGGTCTGTGCTCCTGCATCACTATGTAGCATTTGGCTCTGGCCAGCAGACCGTGGGGTCCCAGTGGAAAGCCAAGCAGATCCCATAAGACTCAAGTCTGATTTGAAAGGGTTCTTATCATGTCCAAAAAAGACAGGAGATCTACTGCAAAAAGGAGCCTTTGTAGCTTTCCTCCCTGAAAGTAATTCAAGGCCATGGCTCAGTGGTGGAGCTTATCCTTTCCCCACCCAGCTTCAGCTCCTTGGGACAGCCTGTGAAAGTATCACCAATAGCAAGGCTGGGGAACACCCTCTTCCAGTGTCCTGGAGGGAACCACTGACAATCCAAGTCAACAATGCTGTATGAGATGGATTCCACCTCTGTATGAGGCTGTTCCGTCCTTTCCAGAATGCTTTTATATTAAGACGGGACTGGAGCAGACCGCTTCCATTGTGTTCCTTTTTATTTTAGGGTTCTTTGGCAGGGGTGGGCAACCTTTGTTCTGTTGAGGGTTGGATTCCCTCATGAATAAACTCTTGGGGTAGAGAAGGCTGCCTGGTGGCAGGGGTAGAACTGGAGCCAGCAGTGAGCAAGTCCAGAAGCAAAACAGAGGTGCCTCCCTTTTCTTTTTGTCCTCCTCATTCTTTCCTAAGCATCAGGCTGCCAAGGAAGAGACGGGTTGCTCTTACCAGAGATACAGAATGGATTCATGTGGAGGACTTTAGAAATTAGGCCAAGGGCTGCATGGAATGACTCACTCCTATTCAAAGGAAGTTCTTCTGGACAAATTGTCTCTCAGCTTAGTAAATATTTCCCTCAAGCTACCAGCCCACTAGAATCACCTGCTTCCTTTTATATATCTTCAGTATTAATTCGTGGCCCAACAGGGAAGCAGGGCTAGGAAGCTGTTCTGTTTAAATACTTCCCTGCCCAGTTATGTGGAAGAGATTTTTGCTTGCCTTGAGCAACGGAGCAAACATCCCTTTTTAAACATTTTTCATTGTTGTTCTGTTATGGTATCCCCGCATCTCATAGATATCAGTAGAGGTGAGTGTAGCATTGATCAACATAGTTATCTATGTCAAAAGCAGGGTTTGGAGGGCTGTCAGTATACCCTGTCTGCCTTTTGAAATCCACTTTTGCTGCTTTCTTCATCTCTGCTGCTAAATTCTAAAATGCTTGAAGTGACTCTAGAATGCCAGACGTATCATTCCTCACCGTTCTCATTAGCTGTCAGGTCTCCTCTGGAATTCTATGCTGTACAAGACTGCAGCATGACGTTAATTAAAAAATGCAGGGCACGTTGTTGTACTCATCTTATCCTAAACATCTATTGCTGGCCCCTGGAGAGGGACGCATTTTTTTCAGCTCAGAAGCTGAATCCAATCTCAGAGAAGGTGTCAGGATCCAAATACCAGCGGTGAACAGAGCCAAAAAGCACTTCAAAATGGAAAATACAACCTTCTCCACGCAGCTGTTCTTATGTATCCTTTCCTGGGGGGGGGGGAAGTGGGGGGTGACCCACATGGATATACAAATCCCCTGCACGTTTACTTAGAAGTAAGTAAGGGGACACACGCCTGTATCCCTATGCAGACTGAATAGTGGCTTAACAGTGCTTTGAAATCCAGCACACACAAATACTCAGAAGCAAAACACAATGAAAGCCATGATACTACACATGTTCACTCAGACCTAAGCCAAGTCGAGCACAAATAGAATCAGGCTGTTGAGCCTGGGTGGAGCAAGCCAGACAGAGAATTCCCAGTACACAAACTCCCACCCCCAAAGCCCTGCGAGGTGGGTGCCCATATGTGGTGGAGGCGGTGGCATTTCCCCCCTTTCTTTCCCCCTCAGTCCCAGAGGAAGGAAAACTAGTGTGCTAGTGTGCCTGCCCTAGGATCAACATACATTCTGTCTCCTGTTCTCGGGTTCTGTTAAGGGTTTTGGATCCAGAAGATCCAGAGGCGCTTCCAGAATCCCCCCATTTCCCTCTCCCCCTTTCATATTGCTGCCTGTAGAGTAGCATTGGTGACCATCCTTTCTACCACAGCTGCAAGAGGAAGTACAGGCCTCCAACTTTAGAGACACAGTTCTCCTCCTGCTTATAGAGAGGGCAAACTGGAAAAATCTATGCCCCCTAGGATTGCCTCCTGGGGACCATAGAACTGCGCCCTGATACAGTTAAGGAGAATTACTGGATTGCTGTTTAATTCACCCATCAAGTAGAAATTCATAAAAGGGTCTCACACCCATTCACTGCATGGTCAGTACCAAACTTGGCAAACAGTGCACATCAGAAATGTTGGGTTGGTGCCAAATTGCTTCCTCTCTGACCCCTTAAAAGCTGGGTTTAATCATACTGTACCTTAATGACTACAGTTCAGCATGTAACGCCAGTCTGTATTCCCTACTTACTGAAATGACCTTTTAATAAGACACATGGAGAAATTACTCCAAACCCCTGAGTACGCAGTATGGTGAACTCCATTCTGGTGTGACATGAGATCCCTCGGCTCCTGAAGGCCTTCAATTTTCTCCTGAGGGCAGAGGAATTAAACTGGTTGATTTGATGGAAAATGAATGTGCTCTTACATAATGGGGCATGCAAGGAATATTCGGAAAGAGTGTGTTCTGCATATCAGGCAGACCAGCATTCCAAGCATATTGGCTAAACCACTATAGCACATTTCAACCACATTATTTAAAGAGAAAACAAGGACAACTATTTTAAAACATTGTTTAATTAACACATGCATGCATTGAGATTTATCATTCACCAGTTGTACGCAGACTGATCTTGCTTTGGAATTTCTCTTTTAAATAATCATCTTAATGGGTGTTCACTTGTATAAGCCTGGAAGCCTATATACTCTTGGCATGCATCAAGTGCATGGTGGAGGGACGTAACCCTTTCTGTGACGTGTTCTTTAGGTTTTTCTTCCTATGCAAGGTCCTATTCATATGATCACGGTGGTGTCTTAAGAAAGTGGGCTTAGCTGTTCCATACAGAAGTGCATCCAGCTCAAGTCCTATTGTCAACACCATCACAAAAGTGTGTTTAGTTGCACCCCATGGGCTGTTTTAGCTTGGAGTCCTGCCTTGAGCAGGGCTTGGATCTGATGATTTTACTGGCCCCTTCCAACTCTACCTTTCCATGATTTCCTGTTATCTGCAAGAAACAACTTAATCTCTGTTAATAACCATGTCATCTTCTTTTGTAAATTTTGGAAAGCTAGTAAATAGCTTTGCAAGTGTCAAGAAAAAAGAGTGACTTCTAAGCCTTTTGGAATCCCAGAGCTTACATGTTTGGTTCTTTGCAGATTGTAGCTTAATAGTCTGACTTCATACTGTATTTGCCAATTTAAGTCAGAATTATTTGCTTTGATCAGCAGCATTTCTCCAATTCTCCTTCATTTCAAGCAGGGGTCTCTCTTTCACCTGCTTGCTAATCCCTTAATATGCAATTTCAGGGGTCAAACTCGGGACTTCCTGGTGTTGCCTCAGAGCCAGCTTTCCCCAAGTAGATGCACTCCTCATGTCTTTGGACTTCGTCTCCCATCAGTCCCAGCAAGCATGGCAAATGCTCAGGAATGCTCAGAACTACAGTCTTAAATATCTGGAGGGAAACAAGCTGGAGAAGGCTGGTTGATTGTTAGCTGGCTCGGGATTTCTTCCAAAAGGACAGTGTGGTATACATTTTGAAAAGAAATACACAATACATTTTAGAAATTGAATTTGTCAATGCTTCTGTGATTTGAAGAGCTGCCAGACACACAGATGTGTAAAGCATACGTTTCACATCACAGTCTATTTTCCCTCTCTTAGCATTTGGCTTAAGCTAGGCTATGTTGTTTGAATCGTTGCATCCTTCAGGAAATAAGAGAAATAGGAAGAGAGGGTAAAAAGTTAACAAAATAAAGTATGTGCATTTAGGTTCTTTAAGCTAAGTGGCCAGGATCTCACCCCTGTTAAACACTTCCATCCTGCTAGTAAAAGCGTGTGTTTCCTTGCTTCGTAATTATTTCATCTTTCCTTGAAAAGCAGTGAGTCACTCCAATCGATATGGTCAGATAGGCCTGCGATGTGCTGTGATTGTCACCTGGGGTTGCATTGTTCACTTTGGAGCATTCAGGGCAGGAATTAAGCGTGCTTCTTTGTTCAGAAGAGAGTTGTTTCAAAGCTTCATCTGATACCGCTTGTGAACAACAAGGTTGCCTGATTTCTGAAATCTGATTTAGCAGAAAAGTGTGCGCAAAAATGGAACGAGTGGTCAAGAGACAATGCTGTTATGATTACACTGCATTTATATCCCACTTTGTTTCCTATGGCAAGGAAGCCAGGGAAGCTTGCATAGTCTTCCTCTACTCCATTTGATCCTCAAACTGACCCTGCAAAGTAAGTTAGGTTGAGAGTGAGTGACCCAAAGCCACCAAGTAACTTTCTTGTCCAAGTGGGGACTAGCACCCGAGTTCCCCAAGTTCCCCAGCCAAACAGCTGAATCACCTCACCATTAACCAGAATGTTGGCGTTGCAGAGAAGGTTGGTGACTTCTGTGTGTGTCGGGCTCCCCATCCACTGGAACCTCCTCTTTGGGCTTTATAAGGAGCTCTCCATGGTGCTGCGATCCATGCTCAAAATAGGCTCACCGCCATGACGCACCATGGAGAATTTCTGTAAAGCTCAGCCTAAAAGCTGCAATGGATGAGGAGCTCCACTGACGAAGGAGTCACCAGGTTTCCACTGTTGTACTCTTCCCTGTGCCATGACCCAAGCTGCTGGCCATAAATGGCATGCTCTTTCCAGACTTCTGCCCTTGGGAAAGACCTTTGGGTCACCTAGGAGGGTGCACCAGCCACCACAGCTTGCGCAAACGCTTTTGGAGTGGCCCAACTGGAAGTAGAACAGTCTGGCTTTATTGACCTTTCCGACTTCTGAACCTTGTAAACAGGATAGCCAGAATGCCAAGCTGGCCAAACCCCTCCATTACAGTCAGCGTGCCATTTGCAGCTAACAATGCAGACGTGTCTTCTGTCTGGAGGGCTGGAGCTGTCAAGGCTGAGGACTTGGAGAAGCTCTCAGAGGCAGCACCATCAGTCGTGATGGACTGAGCCAAAGGCAAAAGGGCTGGGGCTAAAATACCAGCATGTATCAGCTAATATTTATACCACCCATTTTCCTGCAAGGACTGTTCCTGTGCTTGTTTGGAGAGAGAGAAGGATCACAGCTCCCAGAATGCCCCAGCCAGACACATTCTTAGGATCGTGAACTACAACTCTTGCTGCCAGAATTAGGACTTGGGAGAAAGGAGAAGAAACTGCCCAAATCCCAGAAACCAGCAAATGATTGGATGTCAGCAGTAAGAGGGTAGCCTTCCAAGAAAACCCCTGGAGGGCCAGATTTGCCCTGACTCTCGGTTTGACATATTGTACCTTGCCTGACAGGGTTCTTTAAGAATTGCTGAGACAATTATGTGACCTGCTTTGAACACAAAGCAATATATAAATATGTTACCTTTGGGCTTGTTTTATTCATTTCACAATATTTGTAAAGTTCCGCTTCTGCTTATCTGGAGCATTATATGCTTTGACTAAAATCAACACCAACAGCTTCTCTGTTCATTAACAGGTAAATGGTGTTCATCCAGAATGCAGGTTTCATCTGGAAATCCTTGAGGAGGAAATAAAGTGTCAGGAGCGGCTGAAGAATGCCAAAAGAGTGGGTTTTAAAGGTGAGACAACTGCCTGCGGTGTGGGCACAGTAATTCGCATATGCCTGTGTGTCGTTTTGATGAAACGGAACAAAATGGTGTCCAGGAATACCCTGCATCCCAAACTGGGCAGAGCTCCATTCACTTGTAAAACTGTTTTTCATTTCCTTTAAATTATTGGTCCAAGTCGAAACAACAAAACCAGTGTACACCAACATCTCAAAGCTCAGGTTAAAGTAGCCACATGATCAGGAATGGAGGCAAACGTGGCCCATCCCTTATTATAAGCCCACTCCTCTCTCCTCTGAGCTGTTTCTCTCCTTCTGCACACAGTGCTGCTTTCCCCCTTCCCTTTGAAGTCCTATTTCTTCCCTGCCTTAGAGAACAGCAATAGATTTCTGTGAGCTGCACTGCCTGTAGGCTCCTTATGCAGGAAGCAACAGCAGTTTACAGCACAGAAAATGCCATAAAATAGAAAATGTGAACGATGAGAACATCATCAAGTTTCATTACAAAGATTTAAAGATCTAACTTTGTAAAAAAATAGCTGGGATAGGTTACTACAACTCAACCAGCTAAAGAACTGGCAGAATGTCCCTTCCATGCGCTGCTCCGGATTGTTAAAGGACTTGGCATAGGGCAGCCTTCCACAATCTGGTGGCCTTCAGAGGCATTTGGACCGCAACTCCCAGAATTCCTATCCAGCAGGGCATTGTCTGGGAATTCTGGGTGTTGAAGTCCAAACGTGTCCAGAAGGCACAAAATTGGGGAAGGCTGACATGGTCTTAACCTGGTGCCGAAAGATAACAAAGTTGGCACCAGCTGGGCTTTTTCTGTAATTGAGATGGCCCTGAAGGTTGATTGTATTCTGGTGGACTGGTAGCCCCCTTGGACTTCTTGAATTGACATTTTTACCCTTTTAGTGCTCTCTAGTATCCCTGGACACTATTTGAAATATTTTTTTTTTATCTATGTTTTTAGCATGGTGGGGAAGGGAAGTGCAGCCAGGCAGGTGTTCAGTGAGTGAAAATCACCCTCCAAGTTGCCCTCCCCTGGTCTAGGGTTTCAGCCAGCCTTTCCTAACCCTACCTGGGCTCTACCCACAGCCAGGCACATGGAGGGCATCAGTGTAGGCGCCTGTCCCAGGGGCAGAGGGAGAGAGTCCCGCCAGGCAGACATTCCCAAGGGTGCCTATCTGGGCATCTGCATCAGGGCAGTGTTCCTCAGCTGTGTGGTAATGGGGAAGGGACAGCCGGGCTTGTTAAGACTCCTAAGGATTGGTTGGGATAAGATGAGAGTGGAGGAGAGGGCGGGAGGCACGTGGAGGAGAGGGCTTGGGACACTTGCCCTTTTGGTTGAAAGCACTGCCGATGTGCTTCTCGCCTGCCGATCAGCTCGCCTAGGAAGACGGCAGTGTGCAAATGCAGCAGACTAACCAAATGCCGCTCCAGAGCGACTTCGACAGAGGGGGGTGCCAGTCACTGCTGCTCGAGGCAGTGCAACACGATGCCCCACTGCCGGCAAGCCCTCATTGCTGCAGCTGTGGTTACCATGCACAGGCGCGCGGTTTCCAGGTTGAGTCAAGAAAGTAAGCCTTGATGACACAAGGAAGGCTTGCAAGAAGCCATTGTTTCTCTGTTAGGTTGCATGGAGACCAAATGTGCCACGCGTCACTATCAATGCTGGGTTCAAACCTAAGACCAAGCCAGGCCCTGCAGGTTCCTCTGTGGCTTGTCATCACATGCGAACCTGCCCCTGTTTCTGTTTCTGTGTGGAAGAAATGGCTCTATGGAGAGTGTGTATTTGTGTGGGCGTGGACATGTGCGTTTGCATGCAGGGCTGAAAAGTTGTGCACACATTCTGGCCACACAAAGTGGTTTGAACACATTGTTTTGCCCTGCAAAAAGATATCTAAACATGCAGCAAGATATGTCATCAACCTTTTCCACCTCACTTCTATATATTAGGTTAGATATATTGCTTAGTTTCCTTCCTACTCCTTCACAGTTTGGTTTGTAAATTTGTTTAGTTTTTGTAAAGGCAACAGCTGACTGTTTGGTTTGCTGCTGGCATGTCAGTAAGTCCCCCTCTTTAAGCTGCATGTCTGCATTATAAAACATTTTTACCTCTTTTCCTTTAAATTCCTGGCTGTGATTTTGCTGGGTGAGCAGTAACAGATTGGGTAGCCTCCCTTGGACCACCTCCTGAGAGCAGGAGCTGTGGGGCCATGTGCTTGGGCCTCACAGTCCATGCCTTGTGGTGCCACCTCTTCCAAGCGGCCTCTGCACTGCAGAGGGGTGGGTCCTGTAGAAGGTAGTTTAGCAGTGGAGAAGTGTCTGGGAAGGCCACGAACTATAGCTCCCTGTTGCTTCTCTGTTCCCATCATCCTTTCATGAAGAAGCTTCCCTCTTGGTCTTTTACAGCAGGTTGTAAAGGTATTGTTTTACTCATTTGTGTCCGATACTTGGCTTGGCTGTCATGGCTTCTTCTGGCAGCTAGTGTGCTGGACTGAAGACCTTGGAGATTTGGGTTGTGGTCTGCTCAACCAGTTGCTTGTGTGTGCATTATGTGCCATCAAGTTGTCTTCGGCTTACAGCAACCACATAAATGAAATGGAAGTCCTCCACACAGTCCCGTCTATGACAGCTCTGATCAGCTCTTCCAAATTCAGGACTGTGACTTCCTTTTTGGAGTCACTCCATCTGATATTTGGTCCGTTGACCCTTTTGTCTTCTTCCCTCAGCTTTCCCTAACATAATTGTCTTCTCCAAGTCACTCTCAGCCTAACCCGCCTCACAGGATAAAACGGCAGGGAGAACTGGGTAAGCTGCCTTGGGTTCCTTGCAAAAGGCAAGGTATAAACAAGGCAAGATAAAATTCAATGTAGTAGTAGTAATTTATTGTGTGCTCATGGTTCCTCATTCTTGTCAATTTGCTGGGGCTTTACATGATATTGTTACCCTCTAGAGCAGTGATTCCCAGAGTGGGTGGTAGCACCCCCCTGGGGACAATAGAAAAATCCAGGGGGCAGTGACTGTTTGATTCAAATTTGCAGTAGAGCAATAGACCTAATGCAGAGAAAGAGGCATGAGAACATTAGGGTTGTTGCCCAAGAGGAAAGGGGGTGGCAGCCCAAACAAGTTTGGGGACCACTGCTCTAGGGCCTCCCTCCTGCTTTCCAAGGATTTCCATGGCTTTTTTTTTTTTTTTTTCAAGTGAGGAAAACTTGCTAAGATCTCCAAATGGTTGAGTGAACCAACAGAAAATGCTGCTGCATCTTTGCAATTCCACTGCGTTGCAGCTACCTTGTGATTGTGTAATGGAACATTTAGAAAGGCAGAGAAATGCGTCCCCAGTGGGGAAAGAAAACGTGTGTAAAGGAGCCACTCTTAATCTCACTAAGTATCTGGATGCAGAACCCCTCAGTAAAGTGGTCTCGAGTGGAAAAGCCTGGAGTCTTGGTGAGTACCCCATGGACAAAGCCGTATTTCCACACTCTGGCTTCCAAAAATGAGCATGTATTTAAAAGTATCAGGTACATTGTGGGCCATCTATTATGCTTTGAAGAAGGGGAGAAAGTGTTGCAAATACGACCGTTTCCTTTCCGTTACTGCCTCTGTTTTAAAAATAACATTTTGCTCTAGCGTTGAGCACTAGTAGAACAGAAGTTTATCGCAAAACAAATAGAAAAGTGTGACATTTTCCACCAGTAAGTGCCTCAACCAACGCTATCTGCTCACAGTGTAAATAAATGACATTTCAGTCTTTTCAAACAATAAATATGCTCAAGGGTTTAAAACAGGAAAGGAATATATGTCTACCACATAAAAGAAAGAAAGAAAAACAGATCGGTAAAAAGAAATTACATTGTTCTTGGTGCTCTGAATCAGAACCTTTAAAAAGCCTTTTGTAGGATTTTGTTTTAATTAACAAGGACCTCCTATTTCACATGGCTTGCACACCATTGTCCGACAATACACATACATGTGTGTTTGCACAAGCATGCACATGTGCCCACATATGTGAGAACTGGGAGTGGGAAGAGCATTGCAATGACAAATATGGAAAAGTATAGACTCTCTTCTTAGTCTGTGTTTCAATTCATTTGTTGAAATGTCATTTGTTGCATTTCTATTCCATCCTGCCTCTAAGGAGCATGGAATGACAGAGAGCATTCTCCCAGCCCTCCAAGGTAGCTTGGAAAGAGAGAATGGTTGATCCAGGTTCATGGCTGGCTGAGTAGAGGACTGATCCTGAGTCTGCCCAATCTGACTTCTAGGTGCATCAGACTGTCACTGCAATCTTACACACGTTTTCTTAGAAATGCACATCTACCCAGAAGTAAGGCAGCAGTCAAAGGCTTCTGCCAAAAGACTTGTGTTTTGGTCCTTCCTTCCCCATCTTGGCACCCCCCAGATGTGTTGAACTGCAGATGTTCACATGTTTTCAGAAAGTGTCTGTGCGTAATGTGTGTGCATGCATGAGTGTGTGTGTGACAATCAGTTTGATATCATTAACAACGCAGAGGTTCTATTAGTGGTTGGTTTGCCTGCCCATATGAGTAATACCCAGCCTGTTTGGGAGAGGGTTGCACGTTCCCTAGAGGATGATGTTCAGAATTTGGGGTGCTCCTGGATCCAGCAATGTCGCTAGAAGCACAGGTGGACTCCGTGTATGGAGACCCTGATTTCAGCTCAGGGTAGATCAACTAGATCCTTATCTGGACAGGGATGGGTTCACTGAAGTCATTCATGCTCCGATAACGGCTTGGCTGGATACCACAAAGGGTTGTACATGGGGCTGACTTTGAAAATGGCCCGGAAGCTTCATCTGGTCCAAAGCAGAATAAGTTTGCTTTCAGGGACTGGCCAGTGTGATCATACCAGGTTGGTGCTTTACCATCTCCACTGGCTACCAGGCCATGTGCAGGTATCCACATGCAGGTATCAACCTTCAAAGCCCTAAGTGGTTTGAGACTGGATTATTGAAGGCTACTGGCTTCTGAAAGTTCAGGCATACAC